TCTTCTTGGAGCACCTCTGCTCATAATGGTCTCACCCAAACAGTGATTCTGAGAACATTGTTTCAAGGACTTTTAGAAACATTAGGTTTTATGTCAACGGTTATTAACCTCTTAGGCTTTTCTTATCACGAGTGTATTTTAGTTTAGGAAATTAAACCTAAAGAACCAAAAATCTGATTAAAACCGATTGTTAAACTTTAGAAAATATTAACACATGCTTGTATTACTCCAAAATGTAGGGTTAAATCATATGTTCTATGATAGAAACCAAGGCTTTAGAAGGGTGAAACTTTGTTGATAAGAAAATAGCAAAATTTATTCTTTAAATGCTGGCTTAAGCTAAATTACAGAAAAGGTATAGATCCTTATGTAAGTCACATTCATATTTAAATATCTGCTAAAAGAGCACGTTGTGGTTAAGGCTCTGTAGCCAGAATTCCTGGGTGCTAATCTCGATTCCACAGTTTATCAGGAGTATGACCTTAGCAAAATAATTTCTCGGTAGCTCAGTGTTTGGAGAATTACAAAAGTTAATAATGGACTGATCACACAGGATTGTTTTAAAGACTAAATGAGTCAATACAAAGCACTTACAGCAGTTCCTGGCACATTGTAAGTACTCAGTGTTAGCTTATTATTACTACCACATTCAACATTTTATATTTTTATGTTTTATTTTTTTAAACCTTTACCTGTTCTTAAAAATAAAATGTTTATAAGGCCTTTGAAAATCTTTTGGCGTTTGAGTTATTTGAAATGGGGAAACTTTCCATGTTTCTACACAAAGTTAATAATTTTATTAACATCTTACTAGATATTTTCAAGAGTTTAATGTTTTATCTGGAAAACTGTTTATTTGTATGTTCAAGATTGAGATAGTTAATATTTAGTTGAATTTATTCTTACTCTGCTTGAGCAGTTAGTAAACTCTGGGTACATAATGTTGAATAAGACTAATATACATAAATACATATTGTTGAGGTGTGATTATCATGAAATGGTCTAAAATGGCTTAAACCGATCTCATATTCAAATGGCCTAACAGAAGAGGCAACCTTGAAATTTGTGATTCTGTTGACTGAGAAAAAGTTCAGATACTAGAGTACATCTTAATAACTTGAAATATGATTGTTGATGCAGTCAGCTGTGTTGATGAATGGGAAGAAAGACTGTCCCCTGTAAACACAGGGTCTCCTAAACTCTTTGTCCATTTATATTTCAGGAGTGTTCATTGGGATCATAAAACAAATTCTCAGTGCTTTTGTTTACACAGTTACCAAGCTACCTTTGATCTGTGGTTCATTTTCCATAAAGTCCGTCCAATAGGGGAGAAATGATTCAGGCTTCTTGGTACAAATAAATTCACACCTACTCTTTTGAAGAAAGAATTGTTTGGAATTAATGATTACCCTTAAGCTCTTGTTGTTGGTAGGTGCCGTCGAGTCAGTTCTGTCTCTTAGCGACCCTGTGTACAACAGAACGCAACACTGCCAGGTCCTGTGCCGTCCTCACAGTCGTTGCTGTGTTTGAGCCCTTTGTTGCAGCCACTGTGTCAGTCCATCTTGTTGAGGGTCTTCCTCTTTTTCACTGACGCCCGATTTTATCAAGCATGATGTCCTTGTCCAGGGACTGGTCCCTCCTGATAACACGTCCAAAGTACATGAGACGAAGTCTCACCATCGTCACTTCTAAGGAGCACCCTGGCTGCACTTCTTCCAAGACACATTTGTTTGTTCTTCTGGCAGTCCATGTATATTCAGTATTCTTCGCTAGCACCATAATTCAAATGCATCCATTCCTCTTCGGTCTGCCTTATTCATTGTCCAGTTTTCACATGCATATGAGGTGATTGAAAGTACCATGGCTTGGGTCAGGCACACCTTAGTCCTCAAAGTGACATCTTTGCTTTTTAACACTTTAAAAAGGTCTTTTGCAGCAGATTTGCTCAGTGCAGTACATCGTTTGATTTCTTCACTGCTGCTTCCATGGGCGTTGATTATAGATCCAAGTAAAATGTAATCCTTGACAACTTCAGTCTTTTCTCCATTTATCATGATGTTACTTACTGGTCCAGTTGTGAGGATTTTTGTTTTCTTTATGTTGAGGTATACTCCATACTGAAGGCTGTGGTCTTTGATCTTCATCAGTAAGTGCTTCAAGTCCTTTTCACTTTCAGCAAGCAATGTTGTGTCATCTGCATATCGCAGGTTGTTAGTGAGTCTTCCGTCAACCCTGATGCCGCATTCTTCTTCATATAGTCTAGCTTCTCGGATTCTTTGCTCAGCATACAGATTGAATAAGTATGGTGATAGAATCCCATCCTGATGCATACTTTTCCTGATTTTAAACCATGCAGAATCCCCTTGTTCTGTTGGCACAACTGCCTCTTGGTCTATGTACAGGTTCCCCATGAGCACAATTAAGTGTTCTGGAATTCCCATTCTTCACAATGTTATCCATAGTTTTGTTAGGATCCACAGAGTCAAATGCATTTGCATAGTCAATAATACACAGGTAAGTATCTTTCCAGTATTCTGTGCTTTCAGCCAAGATCCATCTGACATGGGTAGTGATATCCCTGGTTTCATGTCATCTTCTGAACCCAGCTTGGATTTCTGGCAGTTCCTTGTTGATGTACTTACTCCAACCATTTTTTAATTATCTTCAGCAAAATACTACTTGGGAGTGATATTAATGATGTTGTTTGATAATTCCTGCATTCTGTTGGATTACGTTTCTTTGGAATGGGCACAAATATGGATCTCTTCCAGTTGATTGGCCAGGAAGCCATATTCTAAATTTCTTAGCATAGATGAGTGAGCATCTCCAGTGCTGCATCCGTTTGTTGAAACATCTCAGTTGGTATTCCATCAGTTCCTGGAGCCTTGTTTCTTTGCCAATGCCTTCACTACAGCTTGGACTTCTTCCTTCAGTACCATCGATTCTGAATCATATGGTACCTCCTGAAATGGTAGAACGTCAACCAGTTCTCTTTGGTACAGTGAATCTGTGTGTTCCTTCCATTTTCTTTCGATGCTTTCCTGTGTCATTCAATATTTTGCTGATAAATCCTTCACTATTGCAACTCAAGACTTAAATTTTTTCTTCAGTTCTTTGAGCTTGAGAATTGGCAAGCATGTTCTTTTCTTTTGGTTTTCTTACTCCAGGTCTTTGCACATTTCATTGTAATACTTTTCTTTGTCTACTCGAGTTGCCCTTTAAGGTGTCGTCTTCAACTCTTTTAGTTCATAATTTCTTCCTTTCATTTTAGCTACTTGACGTACAAGAGCAAGTCTCAGAGTCTCTTCTGATACCCATTTTGGTTTTTTCTTTCTTTTGTGTCTTTTTAATGACTTTGGTTTTCTTCATGTGTGATGTCCTTGATGTCATTCCACAACTCATCTGGTCTTCGGTCATTAATGTTCAATGCGTCAAATCTGTTCTTGAGTTGGTCTCTATATTCAGGTGGTATGATACTCAAGGTCGTGCTTTGGCTCTCTTGGACTTGTTTTAATTTTCTTCAGCTTCAACTTGAACTTGCATACTAGCAATTGATGATCTGTTCCGCAGTCGGCCTCTGACCTTGTTCTGACTGAAGATATTGAGCTTCTCAGTCATCTCTTTCCACAGATGTAGTCAATTTCACTCCTGTGTTTTCTGTCTGGAAAGGTCCATGTGTGTAGTCGCCATTTATGTTGTTGAAAAAGGTATTTGCAATGAATAAGTTGTCGGTCTTGCAAAATTCTGTCATGCACTCTCCGGCATAGTGTTCTATCACCAAGGCAATGTTTTCCAACTACTGATCCTTCTTTGTTTCTAACTTTTGCATTCCAATCACCAGTAATTATCAATGTATCTTGATTGCATGTTTGATCAATTTCAGACTGCAGAAGTTGGTAAAAGTCTTTAATTTGTTCATCTTTGGTGTTAGTGGTTGGTATGTAAATTGGAATAATAGTCTTATTAAGTGGTCTTTCTTGTAGGTATATGAATATTATCCTATCACTGACAGTGTTGTACTTCAGGATAGATCTTGAAATGTTATTTTTGACAATGAATGCAACATCATTCCTCTTGTATTTGTCATTCTCGGCATAGTAGACCATATGATTGTCTGATTCAGAATGGCCAATACCAGTCCATTTCAGCTCACCAATGCCTAGGATATCGATCTTTATGCAGTCCATTTCATTTTGATGACTCCCAATTTTTCTAGATTTGTAATTCATACATTCCGTATTCTGATTATTAATGAATGTTTGCAGCTGTTTCTTCTCATTTGGAGTCATTCCACATCAGCGAATGGAAGTCCCAAAAGCTTTACTTCATCCACGTCATTAAGACCGACTCTACTCTGAGGAGGCAGCTCTTCCCAAGTTTTATTTTGAGTGCCTTCTAACCTGAGCGGCTCATCTTCCAGCACTAAATCAGACAGTGTTTTACTGAACATGAATATAAGGTTTTCCCTGGCCAATTTTTCATAAGCAGACCCCCCACGGCCTTCTTCCTAGTCTGTCTTAGTATGGAAGCTCTGCTGAAACCTGTCCGCCAGGGTGATCCTGCCGATATTTAAAGTACTGGTGGCGTAGCTTCCAGCATCACAGCAACACGTGAGCCACCACAGCCAGACGAACTGACAGAATAGTGGTCCGCTTAAGCAGTTCTTTTGGAAAAATGGGGTGAAAATAAGTACTTTCTTGTTGTTTAGTCTACTATGTTTCAAATGCCATATGCAACTGAAATAAGAAATTAAAAATCACTGAGATAAAATCATTAATCCTGACCAAAAATTTAGTAGGAGATAAAGTGAATCATATTTTGTTGAAGAAATTCTTTTTACAGTGTCTGGTATATAAATATTTTGTTGGATGTTGAAAACATCTAACCTATTTACACAATAATAAATGTAACAGAAATTAATATTTCTTATCTATTTTTTACCCCAAGAGTTTGATTTACTTAAAACAGTTAATTTTTTTTCTTGTTTGTTTGTTTTCAAGGCCACAGAAAGTGAGGCTGGTGATATGGACCTGAGTGGGTTGCCAGAGACTGCGGTGGATTCTGAGGATGATGACGATGAAGAAGACATTGAGAGGGCATCAGATCCTCTGATGAGCAGGGACATTGTCAGAGACTGCCTAGAGAAGGACCCAGTTGACAGGACAGATGATGACATTGGTGAGTTTGTATGAGAAAAATGAATCTAAGACCAATTAAAAATAGTAGCCATAGAACCGTCTAATATAGTAGGTCTTGGAACTAGCAGGGGGCAGTGGTGGTTCAGTGATAGAGTTCTCACCTTCCATGTGGGAGACCCAGGTCCATTTCTGTCCAGTGCACCTTATGCATAGCCGCCACCCATCTGATAGTGGAGGTTTGTGAGTTGCTGTGATGCTGACCAGGTCTCAGTGGAGCTTCCAGACTAAGACAGACTAGGAAGAAAGGCTTGGTGATCTACATCTGAAAATCAGCCATTAAAAACCCTATGGATCACAATGGTCTGACCCCACTGTGCATGGGGTGATCATGGGTTGGAGGCTGACTCAGTGGCCACTAAGAACAGCAAAAGGAGTATCAGGCTTTAAAAAGTCATTAATTTATTAATTTCCTTTGTGTAAACGGTAACATTTGTTGAAACAAATTTGAAAAAGTCAGTTTTATTCAGTCAGTAACTTTCAGAGTCTACAAATAATGTTGTAAATGAAACTTCCTAATAAAACCCTCTTTATCTTCTGCATAACCTCTTTCTTAACCTAGTTTGCGACAAACAAATGCTCTGCGTTAACTGTTTCCAGATAATGAACCTCTAGATTTCCTCTGGGATAAGGAATTTAACTTCTTCTCAGATACCCACCCCTTCATCCTCTTTATTTTCATCCATTGCCCCTTTCACCTCCCTTCACAGAGGCACCTGGTTCTGCTGCTTCATAAGTTGTTGAGGGTTCTAGAGCGTAAATTGGAGGGATTCTCAGTTTTACCCCCGAAGGCTTAGGGTTTCACTGTCCTAATGTCTGATACAACATGCTCATCTGATAAACAGTCTCAAAAATTGTGTTTCATTTCCCTGTTCTCTTTGTCTTTAGTGACTTAAAAAAAAAAATCTTTGTTTTAGTTTCAAAGAAAAAACGAAATTATTCCCTCTTAATTTTCCATCTTAATCCAGAATCCTTGCTTATAGTTTGTGTGTGTGTGTGTTTTTTAATTAAACATTCTTATGAACAGATTGATTTGGAAGTTATTCTTTTGTAAACTTATGTGTCTTTCTTTGAATCTGTTCATTTTAAAATAGTTATGGAAAAAATGGTGATTGCTAAAATATGTGTGGCCTATCTGTCGTTCCTGGAAATTTGAGACTTTAGCTTCATATCTGAAGAGACTTCTCTCCTAAAAATTCTGGAAAGCAGGAACTATGCTGATTCCTACAAATCAATGAAAAACTGTCTGAATTATTTTTCATGTACTTGTCACTATAGGAAACCCTGGTGGCATAGTGGTTAAGAGCTATGGCTGCTAACCAAAAGGCTCGCAGTTCGAAGCCACCAGGCACTCCTTGGAAACCCTATAGGGGCAGTTGTACTTTGTCCTATAGGTCGCTATAAGTCGGAATCAACTCAATAGCAATGGGTTTTTTTGGCTTTTATCAGTGTAATATCCATAGTAAATGAAATTTCCTCAGATAGAAATTCACTTGCAAGCAGTAGTGATTCTGGATGATTGCTGCTGTCAGATATACATTTTTTTAAAAGTAATAAACCATTAACATCAAAGATAAGGCCTAATGAGTGTAGTTCGGTCTCTACAAGATCTTCAAAGATCTTGTATTCTTCCTTCTTCAAAATTAAACCAAACATAGGAACTCTTCAGCTCTTTTGCTGTTATCCTTGTTAAATTTCACCTTATACTCCAGTTCTTAGCTGAAAAAGACGCTTTTGTATGAACTATGAACATCTGTATGATTGATGCCTTCCTTAAAGGCCTTTTTTCCAACCCACCTTCCTCCACCCGCATAAAAAATAGTGTGTGTGTGTGTAAGTGAAATCAAGTGAAATTGCTAATGTTTGATCATTTTTATGAAAACTGAAGGGAGAAAATTTATTTAATAAATGCCCTATTATTACTTATCTTTTCTATTATAAATGGTGCTAATATTTACAACATTCTGGCTAAACCTTTGCCTGTACCTTTACTTTCTTCTTCCTTAGGAAAAGCAAAGTTTTCGAGTTTTGATTTACATTGGCAGGTTGCCCTCCAGAAAAGTCGAATTAATTCATATCCTACAAGTTGTGCTGAGAATGCCTGGTGCCTCGTAGCCACCCTCTCTTAATAGTTTTTAAAAACCAAACCAGCCAAGGTTTTTTATTTGTGGTTTTATTTGGATTTTTTAAAATATGCTTTACGTGAATGAATTTCTGTGTTTACTGGACATCTGTACCTTTCTTTGGAAATACCTCCTTGTCGCTTTTCCTCTCGTATGTTTGTCTTTATATAAAATTTTATATATAATTTCTCATGATATAAACCTGTTTTTTTCTTAGATTGGCGGTTAGCCTGTTAGTTTTAAGCAGCCTCCTAGATTTTTCTCTAATGATTCAAAGCTTTTATCTGTTTAAAAATAAATGTCTTATTCCATATATAAGTTAATTTGTTATATGATGAACCAGTCATCTAATTTTACCCTAAATTGTTCACCAGTCCAACTACTATTTATTGAATAAATTCATTCTTTCCCATTGAACTGAAATGCCAACTTTATCAGATATAAAATTATATTATGTGTCTGTTTTTCTACTATGTATTCTGCTTAAGCGATCAAATTCTACGTAAGTATGACAGCTAAGGAGCCCTGGTGGTGCAGTGGTTAAGAGCTCGACTGCTAGCCAAAAGGTCGGCAGTTCGAATCCACCAGCCGCTCCTTGGAAACCCTATGGGGCAATTCTGCTCTGTCCTATAGGGTCGCTATGAGTCAGAATCAACTCGATGGCATCGGGTTTGTAACAGGTTTTGACAACTAGATTTCTCTTTAATCGGGACCCAAAGAACCGATACTTAGGTCGTGATACTTAAGTCAGCGGTGGAGCTGAGACAAGGGCCGCGCGTCCACGTGCATTCCCAGAATGGTGCAGAGCGCAGAGTGTAGGCTCTAAGCAGACCTATTTCTGAGTTTTCAACGTTTGTTCCAGTAAAGCCTAGATGTATGGATGTGCAGTTGAGTACCCAGAGGGTATTTATATAGCATTCACCTTGTCCACGTAGTTTTGATAGTTAATGTGTTCATGTGCGTCAGAACTCCAAATTGTATAGAAAGGAATTGTATACAGAGGAATCCCATTTCTACCCCTTTCCCCCCACCCCCGTAGGTAACTATTGTTAATAGTTTCTGATTTATTCCTACCTTTTTTAATCCAAGCAAATGCACATACATACGTACATAGACATTCTTTTTATGTGTGGTATGTGTGTGTATGTATGATGTGTATTCTTTTTTCTCCTTTCACACCTTCCCACACTTATCTAAAAGTATGATTGCTGAATCCAAGGGTAAATACATCTGTAATTTTGTGGTTGGCTGCTGTTGAGTTGGCCCCTGACTCATGATGACCCCATGTATAGAGTAGAACTGCTCCATAGGGTTTTCTTGGCTATAGTCTTTACGGTAGCAGTTCACCAGGCCGCCACTGGGGGGCGTTCTAACCGCCAACCTTTAGGTTAGTAGCTGATCACAAACGATTTGTGCCACCCAGGCTCCTGTAATTTTGTTAGCTGTTGCTAAGTTCCTGTCCATAAAGGTTGTGGCATTTTGCAAGTCGCCAGCAGTGTATGAGCGTGCCTGGTTTTCCACAGCATCGCCAATAGGAAAAGTGATCGAACATTTTTCTTTTTTTTCCCCAAACAGAGAGAGGAAAAAATGGTATCTCAGTTTTCTTTTACATTTGTCTTACATATTGTAAAAATTTTTAATTGATTGATCCATGGAAAATATTCTTCGGCTTCTAAGTTCTGGAATACCTCCTTCATTTATTAAATTTTGGAGTGACCCTACTGACTTTCTGGAAAATTCTCAAAGCTCTATTTTCCCATTTCAGCCCTTGATAAGCCTTCATAAGATCACATCTCATTTTCAGGAGAAATTCTCCTTTTGAAGTTTAGTAATTCCTTCAGTGTCATTAGAATTTGAATTAAAATATATACTATTGTTTCTGACTCAGCAAGGAAATGTACAGTGACAAGAATTCTTTGTGTATCTGCAAGAAATTCAACTTGTATCGAAGATACTTAAAATAATTGTATTTTTCAATAGGTAGAATTATAGGACATTTATTTAAAAAGAAAGAGCCTTAAATAATTCTTTTTGAATACTTGTTTTAAATAAAAGTTATAGTTTTGACAAGGAGTATCTTTTGCTTTTCAGAACAACTGTTGGAATTTATGCACCAGTTGCCTGCTTTTGCCAATATGACGATGTCTGTGAGACGGGAACTCTGTGCTGTGATGGTATTTGCAGTGGTGGAGAGAGCAGGGACCATTGTGTTAAATGATGGTGAAGAGGTTAGTAACTGTTTCTACCACTCAGAAGGTTTCTGTCTGAGAATCTGTCAATAGAGCAAATGAAGAAACACCCAATTCTTATTTCTTCATTTAAAAAAACAGCAGCAGTAGGTTTTTAATGAATCAAGAATTACGATATACTTGTTACGCCAGTGTATCCCAAATCTACAAGTTCTCCATTATTTATGGTATTTCAAATGATATTGATACTTTTTGATATATTAACTTTTTTTAAAAAATACTTTCTTGTGTTTAAGGTGAAAGTTTACACAGCAAATCAGCTTCCTATTTAACAGTTTCTACACAGATGATTCAGTAATATTTGTTACATTTTTCACAATGTGTCATCGTCATTCATTCCATTCTGGTTGTGCCATTTCCAGTATTCTAGTTTCCCTGTCCCCTTACCTTCTCATCTTTGCTTTAGAGTAATTGTTGATCATTTGGTCTCATGTCGATGATTCTTTAAAGGAGCTCATTACTCACGAGTGACATTCTTTATTTAATGAGCCAATCTGTTACTAAGCTAAAAGGTGGCCTCAAGGGGTAATTTCAGTTTAAGGTTTACAGAGCAACTTAGGGCCATAGTCTTAGGGAGTCTGATAGTCTCAACCAGTCTATTAAGTCTGGACTTCTAAAAAATTTGAATTCTGTTCCACATTTTTCTCTTATTCTGTCAAGATCCATTTATTTATTGTGGCCCTGATCAGAACAGTCAGTAGTGGTAGCCGGGCAACATCTAGTTCTTCTGATTTCATGGTACATGAGGCCATGGTTTGTGTAGATTATTAGTCTTGTAGACTACTTTCTTCTCTGAGTCTTTGGTTTCCTTCCTCTTTTGTTCAGGACTAGTAGAGACCAGTAGTTGTATCTTAGATGGCTGCTCGCACACTTTTAAGACCCCAGACACTGCTCATCATATTGGGATGTAGAACATACACTTTATGAACTGTATTATAACAGTTAACTGAGTTGTCCCACAGAACTATGGTCCTAAATCTTCAAACCCAGAAAACCAGTCTTGCAAGGTGTTTGGTTATGTCTAAGAACTGTCCGTAACTATGTCCCTTTTGTGGTTTATTATATATATGAATATACATGCACACACACACACCTATATATACACACATACCTATGGTACATTAGCTTTTGAGGTTTCATATCTTTTGTGTCATAAATGTAATGCCTTTTAGAGACAAAAGGGCCACATAGACCAGAGAAACCATCAGTCTGAGACCAGAAGAACTAGATGGTGCCTGGCTACCGTCAGTGACTGCCCAGACAGGGAACACAACAGAGAGTCCCTGATGGAGCAGGAGAAAAGTGGGGTGCAGAACTCAAATTCTGGTAAAAAAGACCAGACTTAATGGTCTGACTGAGACTGGAGGAACCCCCAAAGCCATAGCCCCCAGACGCTCTATTAACCCTGAACTAAAACCATTCCCGAAGCCCACTCTTCAGGACAGAGTAGCCTGGATATAAAACATAAAATGATACTCATGAAGAGTGTGCTTCGTAGTTCAAGCAGATACATGAGACCAAATGGGCAGCTCCTGTCCGGAGGTAGGATGAGAAGGCAGGAAGGGACAGGAGCTGGTTGAATGGACACAGGAAACCCGAGGTGGAAAGGAGTCGTGTGCTGTCACGTTGTGGGGATTGCAACTAACGTCACGTAACAATACGTGTGTACATTTTTGTAGGAGAAATTAACTTGAGCTGTAACTTCCACCTAAAGCACTATATATATACATATATATATTATTATATATATATATAAATAATATA